AACCAAACACGGGCTTAATTTTTTCACTTGTAAAAGTATAAAGTGGGGGAAAAAAGCAAAAGAAAACCTAGCCATAGTTGAATAGTCTCAACTAGGGTAAAGAAAAGCAGAGGTAGATTTTTAGTTCGTATGCACTTTTGAAACTATATCACTTTCCAAGTAAACAAGCTATATTTTGGAGGACTATATTAATAACTATACTTTAACTTTTTCTTTTTTTTTTTGTATTTTAATTATAAAGAAAGTTCGAAGCTCCACCACAGCCAAGGGGACTTTTTCGGGATAGAGTGAAAAGGAAAAGAGATTTAGGGGCGAAGTTGGCACACATGTTGGAGGGTTGAATTTCGATATGACTTACATTAATTTGGAAGATAGACTTGGACAGCAAACGAGCCCTTCCTAGAAGCAAAAGTAGCTCGAGTTAAAGGCAACAGTGAGGGCCCTGCATATGAGGGAGGGGAAAGTGGGTTAGAGGGTTTCCCCAATAGGAAGTAGTTGAGAATTTCAAAGAACGTGTTTAAATATAGTAGAGTTTCACAAGTAAAAAAAGGTAATTTGCGCATCTTTCATGCTTCAAGGCAGTTGGGTATTGGTAGGATACAAGGAGCAGCATAGAAAAGGGCAATGCTATGACCTGAAATAGTTCGTAACAAATATTTTACAGCTCAAGTCCGAGTAATGAACATTAATGAATTCGTACAGTTACGTTAAGAAAGTGTGACAATGGGAGAGTATATTCGCAAGTTTGAACAATTATCAAGTTAGATTTTGATTGACTACTTCGAAAATTGGGAATGAAATGTCTCCAAATGTTATATCTTGTTGGAACTACTTTCCTTGTACTCGATGCTTCATGCAAATTGGAAGTTATTATTGTTGCTTATTTTGTTCCATTCGACAATGAGTATTATTTGATAGGTTTTACCTAAAAACCTACGAGGTCAAACAAATTAATCAACAGTAAATCATTAAAGGAGGTATGTCGATGATAACCATTGACATCAATATCAATAGTTCTGTCAAAAATCACCGAAAATGTTAATTTCCATCAATATTACTTACAATATTCCTTCGATGGAATCATCATTTGGTTCATTTAATTTATATATATATATATATATATATATTTGCCTCGAAGGATTTTGATATATCCTCTATATATTTAATTTTGTCTCTAATTTAATTTCTTTAGTTGAGCATCGTCAAGGCTCTTGAATGAACGATATTTTCCTCGAATAACAATAGACACACTCTTGATCATATACCCAAATCCTATCTCTCAAACCATCTCCCCATCCCTATCCCAATCCAACTCAGCCAATCTATACTTTATTGAGTGGAAGTATTTAGATACAGTGCACTCTTGATAGAAGCGCATATTTGAGCGTGAAAGTGGAGTCACTTCCTATGAGAATTGAGACTAGATCTCTAGAGAACTCTAAGAAGCTAAGAAAGTTCATGGCCGAAAATGAACATAATTGCAAAACTCAATGATTGTTTTAAAAGTCATATGTGTTTTCTATTGTCTCCATTTGCAATCATAACTATAGAGTTCAAGCCATAATTCACTCCATAGTTGTCAAACTCAATAAAATATACAAAGCTAAGGTTCCAATTGAAAGACACGCCATACTGGATTAATAATTATAATTATTTTATTTCTTTCATATAGTAGATTGTTATAGATATATCACTTATATTATTTGAAAGAAATAATTAAATTAGATAAGATGCTCGAGAGATAAAAAAATAGTGAAATTTATGTGGAAGATGTTGGTTTGTGACCCAAATTTGGCTGATTTTTTTTTTTTAAATATTGTTTCCATTATTCCACCCGTTTTTATTGGGAAAATGTTATTTCATTTATTCCACATGTTTTTATTAGAAAAATAGTGTTTCCTTTATTCCACTTGTTTTTATACTATTTCCATCTTTAAAAATATTGTTAAGGGTTTTGATATATCCTCTATAAAATATAAATAGTTGGCTCTTCTTTACAAGTCAATTTATTACTATAAGTTAGAATTGTGTAGGAATATTGTTGTAATTTTTTTCTCCATTATTGTTGAATAAAATCTCTAATTCATTTGCTAAATTAAATTCTTGTTTCTTGTGTTCTTCTTGCTGTGATATATCGTGTCGTATAACCTCGTTTTGCCCCCAAGAAGTGGTATCCGTGTTTTGATTTGATTTGATTTGATTGAGGTTTCTTTGTTCTTGATGGCAACCATGAAGTATGAAATTTCATTTTTTGGATCGCAGCACTAGATTCTCGTTATAGTAGGTAAAGATTCGAACAATACTCGCTCAGATGGATTTGAATTATGCATTGTTGATATTTGACAAGATGCGCACAACTTGGATGACGGAGGAGAAATAACAGAAAAATTCGAAGGCACTTTTATAAATTTATCTTAATCTCTCTAATAATATTCTTCAGATAATTTTTGAAAGAGAAAATGGCAGCTACATTGTAGTTGAAATTGGATCAATTGTGCATAAGTAAGAGTCTAACTATCAAATTGTACCTGAAACATCGTTCATATTCTCATCGGATGACAAAAGGCGGACCTGGCTATTTTTCAAGGAGATTGTCACTAATTTGGAGACTTTAGATGTAAAGTATGATGAATAAGATTTGACCTTAATTATTTTATGTTCATTGCCTGATTTTTTTAAATCGTTTAGAGACACGATTTTGTATAGTCGTGATACTCTTACCATTGAAGATGCATATGATGCTTTGTTTTCTAAGAAGAAGATGGAACATCTGGTTGGATATGAGACTAGAGATGGAGAATGTCTTGTTGTTCATGATGGTCATGGAAGGGACATGTCGAAATCTAATTTCAGTAATCAAGTTTTTTTTATTACAAAAAGAAAAGGCACATCAAGAGAAATTGCAATAAGTTGCAGAATAAAGGAAATTTGACTACAAATCATAAAGGAAAGCAATTAGAAACTATAGGTGAAGCCGATTTTGCAGAGAACTACTTGAGTGGTGGAGATGTGACCTAACGATGATTGGATTTTAGATACAATTTGTATTTTTCAAGTGTCACAATCGAGATTTATTTTTAACATATGAAACAGTTTTGATAGGTGTCATGATCATGGAAAACAACGCACTTGTTGGGTAACTGGTATTGGTAGAGATAGACTTAAGCTAGTGAATGGCGTTATAACACTTGATCAAGTTCGACATGTTTCAAATTTGAAGAAAAATCTCATCTCGTCGAGTACTTTTGATTCAAAAGGGTACAAGTTCTTTAGTGGATATGGAATTTTGAGGGTTTGCAAAGGTGTCTATGTTGTATTCAAGGGGTGAAAAAGTCTTTATTATACGTCTTGCAAAGTTTTGTAAAATTCGTGAAGAACAATCAGCAAAGGTTTAGTATCGTGGTGGATATTCAGTTTGGTACAATATCGTTGCGATTTGGTTTGGAGCCCGTCTTGAAAAATACAGCTTAGTCGAGTTCAAAGGATATGAGTAATGTTGTTTTGCCACCACTTGCGATGCCATCATATTCAATTATTAAGGACAAGCCTAGTAAAGATAGGTAAGAGATGCTTATTTTGTTGCGCGTGCTTTAAGTATATTTGAAAGTGTTAAGTCTTGTAAGGGGCCTTCTACAAAAGTATTTGGTGTTGATTCCGTTTCAGGGTGTTTATTCATCTGTTTGGTAAATGTTAAATCATTTGTGATTTTTTGTGAACCCGAGGTACTTCTGCGGAGCAATACTTGGATTTATTTATCCTAATTGGATATTGTGAAGGAGGTGAAGAATTTTTTGTTCGTTGGAGAAATTAGTTTGATTCTTGTAGAAGAGTTCAATTCATTCTTTGTAGTTGAATTTTGTTCTCTAGGTGGAGAAATTTTGGAATTTCGTTCATTATAGTGGAATTTCTGTCAAGATGAAGATTGTTGGATTTGTGACCCGAATTTAGTTTGTTTGTTTTGGAGAAAATATTGTTTCCATTATTCCACACATTTTTATTGGAAAAGTATTGTTTTCTTTATTCCACGTGTTTTTATTGAGAAAATAGTATTTCTTTTATTCCACACATTTTTATACTATTCTCATTTTTAAAAATATTGTTAGAATTTTAATATGTCCCCTATTGGCTCTTCTATACAAGCTGATTTATTATTGCAAGTTAAAATTGTGTAGGAACACAATATTATTGTAATTTTCTTTCTCCATTATAGTTGAATAAAATCTTCAATTCATCTGCTAAATTAAATTCTTTTTTCTTATGTTCTTGTTGTTGTGATCAATATTTCATATTGTGTTGTATATCCTCGTTCTGCCCCCAACAGAAGGTCGGCAGTTCAATTCACATTCTACATGAATATTAAAAAGTCTATGATTGGACCTTGGACTTCTTTGATAAAAATAAAATTTTATTAATATTTTAATCATTTTCGAATTTATTTTATTTAGTTAAACTAGACGTAATATATAGTAGTTGGAGAGTTACTTGTAAAGTTATTACATTTCTTTTCAAAATTTCATTCTTTCAATACTCATTTTTAACTACACATTTTTCAATAAAATAATATTACACGCAAATTCAAAACTTTTCCTTATTTTTTAACCACGTATTTTCCATCACATCACATCACAAAATGTATTTTCTTCTCTATAATGTGCATCAAACACCCCATAAAATCTTAAAAATGGAAGAAAAAAATTGACCGTTGGGGGAATTATTTATTCAAATCATCAAGGCTTCATAAAATTTGCAGTTTTTAATTTTATTGAATTATGAATTGAAGTTATGATTCGAATACTATATAAACCCCTCGTTGTCATTATTCTAAAGTACTATTTAGAGTTTTGGAAATCACTTGTGATTGTTGTACAAGTTATTCGATCGTTGTATCCTAATAGTGATTATTGAAAGAGGTCACAGTAGTTTACGGCAGACAATTTCACTTTAGGACATCGTATTGTAATGAGTCTGATCGATCGATAAGTCTTCTTACTTTCTGTATTTTAATTCCTATTCTCGAAAGATATCGCAGCTAGTTTTATCCAACGGATGTATGCAAACCTATTTTTGAAAAGCCATCTTGAATTGGTCATGACATTTCCCTGAGTGTGGGCTTTCGAAGGCTTGAAAAGTTGAAATTTATTGCCTCATAATCCGGGTATTTGATTCACAGCTATAGAACAAGACACTGACTAGTAGCCACTCTACTTGGAACCCTAAATCAGCTCTCATTGGATACATTTTGGGACTCTTTGTTAAAACACCTAGTCAAACAAAGTAATTGGAAAAAAGACCCATCCTC